TTCACACCTATTTGAGTTTGAGGGGGGGTTATACACAGTATCATGTATAAGTCGCTCATGGCGCACTCCCTAAGTCGCCTCCTCGGTGCACCACCACAGCTTCTACAACAGTCCAACATGACTCCATAAACTGTCTTCTACAACGGTCTGACACGACCACACAGTGTCTGCTACAACGGTCCGACATGACCCCGTAAACTGTCTGCTACATCGGTCTGACACGACCATACCGTGTCTCCTATCCTGTTTTATTTATCAGTTTATTTTTCTGTTTTGTGACTCTCTCCAAACTCAAGTTGGCTAGTGCCTATCCTCCTTGAGTTTGAGGGGGGCTGTTAATGTAAATTGTAAATTGTGTAAATTACCCCACCACCAACTCCACCTACCATCTCCACTACCACCCACCACCTCCACTACCATCCACTACCACCACTCACCTACCTCACCTACTCCCAAATCCTCTCCTATATAATAGCTTGTAATATACAAAATATAAACAACAATCTTGTAACAACATCTATCAATCAATCAATAATATATTAATATTTTACAGGTTCTACCTATTATGTGTCATTTGTTGATGACTGCACTCGTTACACTTGGGTTTATCTTATAACTCATAAGTTTGACTTCTACCCGATATACCGTACTATCTAGTATATGGTCACTACACAATTTGGGTATACTATTAAATTGTCGCGGTCTGACTTGGACGAGGAATACTTTAAAACTGAATTCTATGAATATTTAGCCAAATTGGGTACTATTCACCAAACTTCTTGTATTGATACACCTGCCCAAAATGTTCGAGCTGAGCGTAAATACCGTCATCTCCTTGAGATAGCTAGGTCTCTCCTTCTCTCTGCCTCCGTTTCGGCTCCGTTTTGGGGTGAGGCAGTTATTACTGCTGCTTTTCTTCTCAACCGTATGCCTACCCCCCTTCTTTCTGGTCGGTCTCCTTATGAGGCTCTGTTTTCTCAACTTCCCAATTACTCCCTCCTCGGTGTGTTTGGGTCTGCTTGTTTTGTCCTTTTACCCTGTAAAGATAGGACTAAACTTTAGTGCCCAGTCTGTCTTATGTGTCTTTTTGAGTTATAGTCTCACTCAAAAAGGTTATTGCTATTATGATCCTGTTTCTCGTCGCCTTTATGTCTCCTGCCATGTTGCCTTTCTCAAACGTCTATCTTACTTTCAGCTTCCTCCTCTCACCGTCCCAGTTTCCAAAGAAGATTTGGTTCATATTGATCCGTTTCCTTCTGAGGTCCCGTCTGATGAGTACATCTCCACGGTTCCCTCTGAGCTTGTTCCATCTTCTCCTCCTGCTTCACCTTTGGCTGCTTCTCCTTCGGTTTGTTCTTCTCTTCCGTTGTTAGTTTATTCTCCTCCTCCACCGGTTGTCTCTACCCCTACTGCTGATTCTCTTGCTTCTGACAACTCTGATCCTGCTGCACACCGATATTCTACTCGAGCGCGTCATCCTCCAAATAGGTTGGGTTGATCTAATACATGTTTTTATGTTTCCTATCGTACATTTTTGTCAGATATTCACTCTTTTTCAGAATCTCAGTCTTACAAGGACGCCTGTCAGGATCCTCATTGGGTTCAAGCTATGGATGATTGCTTTACAGAAAACTAGTACTTAGGAGTTGGTTCCTTTGCCTGTTGGTAAGAATCTGGTTGGTTGCAAATGGTTTACAAAGTCAAAACTCATTCTAATGGTTCTCGTGAGCGCTACAAAGCTCGTCTGGTTGCCAAACATTTCTCAAAGGAGCATGGTATTGATTATGAGGAGACTTTTACTTCTGTTGCCAAGATGACTACTGTCCATACTTTGATCTTTGTCGCTGTTGTTTGTTCTTGGCCTCTTTATCAGATGGATGTTAAGAACGCTTTTCTTAATGGCCATCTCACTGAAGAGGTTTATATGCGTCCTTCCCCTGGCCTTCACCATTCCTCTGGACAGGTTTGTCACCTTCGGCGTGCTCTGTATGGTCTGAAGCAGTCTCCTCGTACTTGGTATGATCCCTTTTAGACTGCTGTTACTGAGCTTGGGTTTCATCCTTATGCCCAGGACTCTGCTTTATTTCTTCTTCACACCTTAGCTGGATTTGTGCATTATTACTATATGTGGATGATATGATCATCACTGGCTTGGACTCTTTTGCTATCTCTGAGGTCAAACAGCATCTCTCCTGCACCTTCGAGATAAAGGATCTTGGTCCTTTGCAGTATTTTCTTAGTATTGAAATTGCACCAAAAGGCTATTTTCTGTCTCAGGCTAAGTATGCTAATGAGGTCATTCACCGTGCTGGTCTTACTGATACTAAAGTTTTTGCTATACTTACTGAGCTTAATGTGAAACTCAACTCTACTGATAGTGTCCCTCAGGATGATCCAACTTTATATCGCGAGCTTGTGGATTGCTTAGTTTATCTGACGATTACTCATCATGATCTTGCCTATGCTGGTAGCCAGTTTGTTTCTGCTCCTCGCTCCCCACATTGGGCTGCATTGGTTCGAATTCTTCGCTATCTCCGAGGTACTATCTTTCAAGGTTTACTATTATCTTCTACTTCCTTTCTAGATTTGGTGGTCTATGCTGATTCTAATTGGGCTGGTGATGTTATTGATCGCAAGTCCACATCTGGTTTTGGTATGTTTCTTGAAAGCACAAAATAAACTCTTGTTGCTCGCTCTACTGCCGAAGCTGAGTATGCACTGGCTCCTGCTACTGCTGAGATTGTTTGGCTTTGTTGTCTCTTATTTGATTTGGGTGCCCCTAAGTCTTCTCCGACCTCCCTCTATTATGACAACCGCAGTGCTATTCAAATTGCCCACAATACTGCCTTTCATGAACGGACGAAACACATTGAGATTGATTGTCAATTTGTCCAATAGCATCTGCAGTCTGGCTCTATCTCGCTTCCTTTTGTCTCTTCGGCTTTGCAATTTGCAAACTTCTTCACCAAGACTCACATTACCGCTCGGTTTCAGTTTCTTCTTAGCAAACTTTCAGTGTTTTCTGCTAAAACACCTTGAGTTTGAGCGGGCGTGTGAGAATATAGTGTATAGAATAAGGGAAGATTGTATTGTATATAGAATTAGGAAAAATTGTAGTGTAACTATTTGGCTGTATTTCCTTTTTCGTATTTTCCTTTTCAATCATAGGTTCAGGGTTATATAAACTGGTGATCTCCTTGTAAAGATACACAATTGAATATACAGTTTCATTCATAAAACTTACAACACTAAGGAGTTTTTGTGTGTGTTATATGAGAGTGTTATACTAAGAAGTTTTTTTGGAGTGTTATATTAAAGTGTTACGTTTGAAAAAAATACACTAAGGAGCTTTTTTGTGTGTTACATTAGAGTGTTACAATAGGAAATTTTTTTGTGTTACATTAGAGTGTTATACTAAGAAGTTTTTTTGGAGTGTTATATTAGAGTGCTACGTTTAGAAAAAAGTACAATAATGAATTTTTTTATGTGTTACATTAGGGTATTACACTAAGATATTTTTTTTTAGTGTTACATTGAAGTGTTACGTTTGAGTGTTACATTGGAGTATTATAGTTTAAAATTATATATTTGGCCAAAATTTACCAAGTAGTTTTTATATTCTTTTTGAAATAGGCCTGGCTTCCCTCCACTCTCAGATCGGATTGGAGAGTGCTGTTGGGCCTGTGGGGGCCCATCATGGGTCCCATTTCGATAATCCGAACCGTTCAATGTATAGAACTCGTCGAGTACTATATGCTTCTAAAAAATCACGTTGATCGGACATCGATAGCTATCTCATTGGGTCATTTTTCTATCAACAGTTTATTTTTTCGTCGTCTATTTTTTTTAATACAAAATTGATTTGATCACGTAATTATCGATATCCGATAAACGTGATTTTTTATAAGCTTATAATACTCGACCAATTCTACACATTCAACGGTTCAGATTATTGAAACAAGACTTGTGGTGGGCCTCCACGGGCCCAACAGCACTCTCCAGTCCGATCTGGGATTGGAGGGAAGCCTGTGCCTTTTGAAATATTTGAAAAATCCCACATCCTTTTGGAATGTTTGAATAATTTCACATTTCAACTATTTTTTCTTTTGAAATGTTTTCCAAATAAAAAAGAATTTTATATAAAAATTTATTCCAAATTTGATTCTCATATAATGTGTATCTACCTTTCTAGCACAAAAGAAAAAAAGAGAAAAAACATAATAGAAATGAAGATATAATATAAGCATAAATCTAATTTTTAAATAATATATTAAATCTATATTTTCAAAATTAATGAGATTAATTGGTTTATAAAAAAATCTTTAATACTAAATGGATCACCCTTCCTCAAGATAAGATTTATAAGTAAATTTTTCTTTTAAAAAACCAAAAACCTATTAAAAGAAAAAGTCAAAAATTCTATTTTGTTTTTATATGATTTTTCATTAAATATCACAGTCATTCTAACATAATTAGGTTTTGTTTGAAAAGTGAGTTAACTTTTTATGTTTTTGACATTTTAGTTATTTTAATCTGAGATTAAAAAATCTTGTTTGGAAAGAAATTTTTAAATTTTTTAACTTTTTAAGAGAAAAAAATATAAAATAATTATATGTTAGATGTAATATTTTATTTTATTAGAATAAAAAATCTATTTCGACTGTTTGCGACTAAAATAGTCCCAACCCCAACCTATTCCTCCTTCCCAAATGAAGCCCAAAAACTCAAAAAGTTAAGCCTGTTCCCAAACGAGTAATTCACTTCCACACAAGGTAAAACCCACTTTCTTTTCAAAGCAAGTTTGTTTTCTAAGGCAGACATAAGAAACGCTCACAAAACACTGGCAAAATTAATTTAAAAATAAATGCAACCAAACCAACATAAATATTAAAAAAATATAGCTCACATTTTCCACCAAATTGTACCTAATTAAAACAACCAATTTCAAAAATCCAACAACAAATTTTTTTTTTTTAATTTTAAAAAGGTGAATTACTTACAGTTCCTAAAGTGATTTCACTGATGAGAAGGTCGGAGTCGCCGAGCTTCTTGTACTGAAACGCGCTCTTCTGAGCTTGTTTGGGAGTAAGAATGGCGGTGATGGTGTTGTTGGAAGAGAGAGAGGACTTCCTTCGTCTTACATTCGGCGATGGAGATGGAGATGACGAAGGCGAAGGAGAGAGAGACAAGTAACGGCGAGGGATAGAGCGAGAGTGGTTGTTGCAGAGAAAGGAAGAGACCAGAGCAGAGCTCGAAGACGAGGCCATGGATGCTTTCCCCTTATCACTACTCAAAATCCTTTTCAATTTTTATTCCAATTCATTTCTAGGAAACACTGGGCCTTGTTTGGTTTGTGTTTTCTAAAAATTTTTGGGAAAAATTTTCTACAAATAAATTATCAAAAGTAATCAAATAAATAAATTTTTTCAAAAAATTTTCTTAAAACTTGTTTGGTCTATAAGTTTTCCAAATAAATCTTTCTCTCATACCCATCAAATCAATCACTTTTTTCAAAACTCTCTCTCAAAATAATTTTTCAAAACATCTTTTAAAAAAAAACAAACCAAATAATTTTTCTTACTTTTTATCTCTAAAACTCATCTCCCAAACACAAACCAAAAATACCCTATAATATGAGCTTGTTTGGGAGGTTGACCATTCCCCGTTTTGAACTTGGCGATTTTAATACTTTATTTTAGTATTTGATTATTTTAATTTGACAAAAATAATCAGCTTGCTTGTTTTTTTTTTTTTTAAATAATCAGCTTTTTTTTTTTTTTTTTTTTTTTTTTTTTTTGAGAAAACACTTTTCAGAAAATTCTACTATCTTATTTTTCATATTTTTTTTGTTTTTACTAAATTTTTTTAATATTTTTAACATTTTTTTTACTTTTTAGACACATCTAACATAAATACCCCTAAAAAGTAAAAAAATTATAAAAAAATCTTTTAAAAATTCACAAAATACCAAAAATATAAAAAAAAAAATACAGTAATTCAGTACATTTTTTATATTTCTATGTACTTATTAATTTGTTAAAATATTTTTTCATAAATTTTTTACTTTTTAGATGCATCTAACTAAGGTGCATCTAAAAAAGTAAAAAAATGTTTATCTAACTAAGGTGCATCTAAAAAAGTAAAAAAATGTTTAAAATTTAAAAAATATACACTAAAAATAAAATAATACGAAAACTAAAAAATTCAATTTTTCAAAAACTTAGTTTAGAAAACTCAAACCAAACACACTGATATTGTGTTTAGAAATAGAGTTATAGTTTTTTTTTTTAGTTTGATGTGTAGCATTTTTTTTTTTTTTAAGTTTGATATGATATTTGTAAGAAAAAAATGAAATGATTATTAATTTGATATGATATTTTGTTTTATTGATTATTTTAATATATTTTATCTTTTAATATTATCTTAGGGGTGGTTTGGAATGTTCTAAATAAGTGCATTTTTTTTTTTTACTTTTTATGAAATATAGGTTAGATTTGAGTTGGGTTTGAAGTGATGTCGTAGAGAGGTGATGCGACTTAAATAAGATGATATCACTTAAATAGGATAGTAACTTTTTGACTTTTTAACTTTTTTAGTACACGACAAACAAGGCCTTAGTTTAAAAAATTAAATAAAAATGCTTGGTACTTCCTTTTTTTTTGAGACCTATAATCCATTTTAGATCTTAACTATTGATGGTGTGGGTCCTACATATATATATAAGTGAGTCTTACACATACATCAATAGGTGAGATCTAAAGGAAATTGTGAAAGTCCCAAAAAAATGGAGTCTCAATCATTGTTGAAAATCAAATAAGCCTTTTGATTTTTTATTTTAATCTAGTGAAAAAAGAGTTATGTTTAGGAAGATAATTTATTTATTTTTTAATAATTTGAAAGTTGCAAGAGAAATATTAAAACAATTATAGTTTAAAAATAATCTTTGGTTTATTGGTTATTATTGACTATTTTAGCTCAAAACTTTTTTTTTTCAAACATGGCATTGTAACTAAAAAAAAATTTGTCATAACTTTATATTTTTTCTAACTTATAACTAAAAAAAAAAAAAATTCATAACAAAATATAACATCAAATATAACTAAAAATATTATTAGTTATAATTTAAATAATATCATAATTAAAGAAAAAATGATATAATTAGGAGTACATATAATACACCTATTTAAGGGGGTGTATAATAGAATTTCTTTTATTTTTATGCCAAAACTCATTATTTAGGCCCCCGGTTGGGACAAAGGTTGGGGCTAAAATAGTCATATACAACAAAATAGATTATTTTAGCCAAACATGACAAAGGCATAGTTTGGGAAGTTGTTTTTGGTGGGTTAGGGGTTAAAATAGCTACAAAAAAATAAAATAGGCTATTTTAACCACAAAAAAAAAATATCAAATCCAATCCATAATCATTGCACTCCTCTCTCATAAAAAAGTCAAAAAAACCAAAAAGCTCTTTCCAAACCAGGCTTTTTAGCCTCAGGCCAAAAACCAAAAAGCTAACCCACTTCCCAAACGGAGGCAAAGTATGTGTTTGGAAAGTTGCTACTTTAGTAGGCTATTTTTATTTTTGACTATTTTAGCAAGCTAAAATTTTTGTGTTAGAAAAGGTGATTGGATTTTTTTATAGTTGGATATGATGTTTGTGAGAAAAAAAAGTAAAATAATCATGGATTTGATGTGACATTTTGTCTTATTAACTATTTTAGCTTATTTTGTCTTTTTATGAATTTTAGCCTAAAAGAGGCTAAAATTCTTCTTGCCAAACAACCCCAAAATATCACATTTAACTTATAATTATTTTATTTTTTCTATCACAAAAGTTAAAAAAAAGCCAAAACTTATCGCAAACGAGGCTTTTTAGCTCTAAGCTAAAGCCAAAAGCCAACCCACATCCCAAATGAACTCTTTAGTGTAATCATTGGCCCTGTTTGGTGGAACACATTTTCAAATTAGAAGTTAATAATTATAAAGTAGAAACTAAAGTTTCGTTTGGCATAAGGTTTTTTTGTTATTTTAGTTACAAAAAGACAAAATAAATTTAAAAGTCAATAAGACAAAATATCACATTCAAACCATAATTATTTTATTTTTTCTCTCACAAAAGTAAAAAAAAAACTAAAAAATCAATCCCAAACGAAACTTTTTAGCCCCAGGCTAAAATAGTAAAAAAGTCAAAAAGTTGAAAAGTCAACTCACATCCCAAACGAAAGCTAAAAGTACACTTTTCCCAACTGTTAAATAATATTTTTTTTTTCAATTTATTTAAGTTATTTTCTACCTAATAGCCTATAAACAAAAACTGTACCAAACAATCTAGCACAGATTTTCAAGTTAAAATAAACTATAATTACCTCCTGAAAATTGTAACAAACAGTCCCAATGTTGATGGTAAACAATGAACTGTTTTGGGAATTGGCTAAAAATTAATTTTTGATTTTTAACCTATTTTAGATCACATCATTTCTTTACCAAACAGCCCAAGTGAGCAGATCTCGGATTCCAGATCTTGGATCCCAAATCCTAGAAAACAAAATCTCGGCCTAGATTATTAAGTCCGAAAAGAGAAGAGCTCGGCCTAAGTTAAAGAATTTTTATATAAGGTCCACAAAGGAGTATGTGGAAGCCATGCAGGGGGGCAGATCCCTTGCCCATAGAGCAATATCGTAGGGATTCTTTTGGCCTTACATGCAAAAGGAAGCTAAAGCCTATGTAAAAAAGCGTGAAAATGTTGTTGAAATCCACCTACAACGTGCAATAGAACAACAATTCGGCTAGGGGCATACTAGCAACAACTTGCTAGGGCTTACAAACAAGAAGATCAGCCCAAGACAGTTCAAGGATAGGGACCTCATCCTAAGAAAGGTTGCCGGTAATAGGGCATATCAGCTGAAGTAATAATAAAAGTACCAGTTTGATTTTTGTGAATTTGAAATCTGTGCGATAGGACCGACCAGTCCTATGACGATGTTTCTAAGCGAAACATGACAAATAACTTAGACTTATTATATGGCAGAGTAGAAACTTTACTTGCATATAATAGAGTTGAACTAAGTTGGCGATGTTTCTAAGCGAAACATGACGAATAACTTAGATTTATTATATGGCAAAGTAGAAACTTTAATTGCATATAATAGAGTTGAATTAAGTTGGCGATGTTTCTAAGCGAAACATGACAAATAACTTAGACTTATTATATGGCAGAGTAAAAACTTTATTTGCATATAATAGAGTTGAACTAAGTTGACGATATTTCTAAGCGAAACATGACGAATAACTTAGACTTATTATATGGCAGAGTAGAAAGTTTACTTGCATATAATAGAGTTGAACTAAGTTGGCGATATTTCTAAGCGAAACATGATGAATAACTTAGACGTATTATATGGCAGAGTAGAAACTTTACTTGCATATAATAAAGTTAAACTAAGTTGGCGATGTTTCTAAGCGAAACATGACGAATAACTTAGACTTATTATATGGCAGAGTTGAATTATATTTGCATATAATAGAGTTGAACTAAGTTGGATTAACTTGGACTTGCCATATCAGCAGAGCCAGACACAGGTTGGAATTAAGTACATGTTGGTCAGATTAACAAAGAGACCAAGGTTGGTAACCTCGGCCAGTTTTTGTTTGAATCTGACCTCGGCAACAAGGTCAAAAACCCCATGCTTAATGAGAACCCAAGTGGAACTTAGGTTCACATTAGGGGGCAGAGGGCTGAAATGATTGCTTGAGAGCTGGAATTTACAAGCTAAAGTTGGCTGAACACTTGTTGAAATTGAAGTTAAGCCGAGGATATGTTAAAGGAAGATAGTTTAACACTTGTTGAAATTTTGAGAAAAATTTACAAGTTAAAGTTAAGCTGAGGTTATGTTAAAGGAAGATGGTTTAACACTTGTTGAAATTTTGAGAAAAATTTACAAGTTGAAATTAAGCCAATGTTATGTTAAAGGAAGATGGTTTAACACTTATTGAAATTTTGAGAAAAATTTACAAGTTGAAGTTAAGCCGATGTTATATTAAAGGAATATGGTTTAACACTTGTTGAAATTTTGAGAAAAAATTACAAGTTAAAGTTAAACCAAGATTATGCTTTAATAATAGAAGACAGAGGACTTGAGTAAAGTGGCAGGTTGTGAGTAACACTTGTGGAAATATTATGATAAATATTTTCAAGTATTAGGTCAAAGCCGAGGTAAACCAATTAGTGGGTACAACTGAAGTGTTACACCCCGAGGAGATTGCACAGTTAAGGTGTATTTTGAAGACATGCAAATTATTCTAAGTATAGAATCATACAAGAGTAAAAAGAAG